TTTGTCTCTCTAATCCCAGCAACTTGAAATCCACTATTACATTAATTCCAGCTTTATTTCCTTGCCAGAGTACCACAAGTCTTTCTTTGTTGAGATCTGCTGACAAGAGAAGGACACGCTAATCCTCAATCAGTGAGGTTCCTTAATGCATTCCGCCTCATCTTGACCCGCCTCTCAGGGCACACGGTTCGTACGTGACTGCTCCCCCCATTGCAACCTGTCAGGGACTCCATGATCAGCAAAGGGTTGGGCGATTCCATGTTGTTCTTCCCCAGATGCAGGAATCACCCCTCCCTGAGGGAGCAAAGGGCCCCTTGCACTCTGCCAGTGAGGTGACCAGGCATCCAAAGTCACAGAGGGTAGTCATCCACCTGAAGAGTTGTCAGAGACTGCCAAGTATTTGATCCTGGCCTGCAGAGGACCATCCAAAGGGGGGAAAGCAGTCACCCACCAGCAGGCAGGGTCAGTCCAGCCAAGTGGAGAGGTACACACTACGAGGCACTTGTTAAATGAACAGAGTGCCGAGTTGGCCTTACAGCAATAAGAATAAATATGCAGTGATGGACTTCCACAGGTATGTTTCTAATAGGACAATAGAAGTTGAGAGGCGTTCAAAGGGGGAGCTTTCTCCTTCACACAAATCACAGAGAGAAAACAGCACCTGGAAATCTGTTGCTCCGAGGCAGTGTGAGTGGCCCACTAGGGCTGCAGCCCTCATTTCAGGAAGGGCAACTGCCCCCCCCACCCTGCTCTCCATGGGCTCTTGCGGGAAGAAAGGCACAGAGGCCTGACCATCATTGCTTAATCTGGTAGCCCTGCAGGAGCTGACTTCTGGCCCTCATGCGCTTCACCTCCAGCTGCCCCCTTCCCCTTGAAATGGGGAGACAGGGCCTGGCACCTGCCCAAGCGTCCTCTCTCTGACCTCTTCTACTGTAGCGCATTCCTTCTTTTTCCTCCACTGCATATTCACAGTGCTTGCGGTAACAGCAGATGCTGCATCTCTCCCTCATGAAGGGGGCTGTGACAGCCTCCTGGGATGCTGGAAAACTAAAATTAGAACTGCGAAGTATTGTCTAAAGAGAGACACATGTAGATCACTTTTCTCTCTCCTTAACAGGCACTGTAGTAGGATAGGGGCTCTTGGAGAAAGCAGCTTGAATGTTCTTACCCTAAAAAAAAGAAAGGTGGGGGGGGGGAGAGAAGGAAAAAAAACCCCACAAGTATGAGTAAGAACTCCCAGGTGATTACCTATAATAATTACAGAGACCTTGGGGATCTATCCAATTATTGGTGGCAATTTATTAAGTTTTCATTAAACAAGCATCTTGGTGAGGACTTATATTTCCCTGTCTTGCCTTCCTCCTGCCTGCCCGCAGGAGCAGAAGCAAAGCTTTTTATAAACACACAGAGGCAGGTTTAAAGCAAGGTTTCCTACCTTTTAGGTGGGGGCATGTCCTCACCCCCTGCCGCGGCCACACTCACCTTCCCCGAATGAGGACACTTGGACTAGAAAGCATTTATTTTTAGTGAGTGCCATTTGCTGGCAGTCCTCGGAGCTCACTGTGATGGATCTGAGGAAGGTGTGTTTTAATTTTTTTTCTTAAACCCTGGATAAAACCAAATGGCCATCCAAATATCCTGGTAGAATCACACAGTGTGTGACTCCTAGGAAATTTATTTTCCAGAGGAATTACCTAAAGGTCCTCTGGACCAGAAATCACTCACATACTCTGTGTGTGTGTGTGTGTGTGTGGGGGGGTGTCTTACTTAACACAATGCCCTGAACAAAATGCCTTCTTGTGGTCCCTTTCGTCCATCAGTGGGTTTACTTGGTGGCAACTGCAAGGGGCCATGCAAGTTGCCTCAGAATGCCTTGGCACAAAACTCTGCCAGGTAAGTTGCATAACATTTGAAGACTTGTAGGGAGACCATGCCACTGGGACATGTGTCATTGCTGGGGAACCCCATCTAGGAGCTGGTTCCACATGCAGATGCTACAGTGTAGGTCAATTGAGCGGAGGCCAGAGCAGAACAAATAGGTATATGGAGAAGGGCAAAGGGCAGCCTTCTCTCTAGACAGATGCTTTTGGTCTTAGTATAGCAGCCTTTTATTATTTATGTCAACCAAACAGTAGCTTAGACTTGGGACAGATTTAAAACTAGTTCGCAGATGCAACATCTGCCAGGGCTCCTCTCTGAAGCCAAATGTTGAAAGCGTGTGTGAAGAATGGGAGTGGAGATTAGGAAGATAATGTTATTCAACATTACTCGCTGCTGTTAAAGGTAGTGCCCTCTCAAGGGAGCATACAAGACAGAAACTGAAGAGTTTCCCATCCTGGAGCCTTTCAGATAGTCTGCGTGTTGATTTCCATCGTATCTGCACCAGCATGGCCAATCATTAGGAATCTGAGTCCTGCCATTTAAAACATCTGAAGTCAGCAGGTTGGAGAAGCCGCTATGCAGAACAGATGCAACATAATTAAGAAAAAGACCAATAAAACTATTGTTCCAATAACAATAGCCTGACTTGCAGTGTATTGAGTAATTTGAGGCAGAACTTTACATTTCTCTATGGAAAAGCATTGTGGAAGCAGAGAGACAAAAGCATTCCACATCAAATGTGGAAGAAGTGTGTGCTCAGATCAATGGGACTTTGGTTATTTGTTAGCCTGCTGCAGCACTCAAGGCTTAGGGCAAAAAAAAAAAAAAAAAAAATCCTTTCAGAAACACAGAGTCAAGAAGTAAATGTTTGAAGTTGTTGACATTTCTAAATAAAGTCATTGCTGAAAGCCGGGGACTAGCATTACACATTACACTGCGAACAAGAGGCCATCAAAAGCTGCCTCTCTGCCCTGGCAGATGCTCCATGTCATGACTACTAGACGGACAGAGTTGCTTGCCACACGCAGATAGGTTCGCCTGCATGGAGTCTCCAGAGTCTTTGCAGTCATAGCAGGCGGCTTTTCCCAGTGAAAGCAGCAGCCCACCCAACAGATCATGCGCTGCTCCCAGGGTGTGAAATGCTATCTGATACAGGTCGGTTTTTGGCAGCTTCCCGGTGATGCACATAAGCGGCAGCAGAACCAGCCTTGGCAGAGATCGGAGTTGTGGCTGTTGCACATTATTCTCAAGAAGCAGTACGAAATGTTAATGCTTTGTACAAGTGTTGGAGGGGCTAGCAGCAGTATCTGTATGATGCAGATTATACAGTCTGTTCTGACTTTATGTGGAGCTTAGAGAAAAACAAGATACCATACTGGAGATGACAAAGTGCTTTCTTCTGGATTGCAAAGGTTTTTAACCCTTTGACAAGCACCATCTGGTGGTTGTAGTTTTATTAACAGCTAATGCTATTAGCTATTAATAATTATTAGTACATGTATCCATGGGAGACCATAACATCTTTTTGTGACTTCAGAATAACTCTACGACCACATGTATAAAAATCACATCATATCATTCCCCTAAGTTCTGATCAAGAATGTTGAGTAACTATACAGACAAGGTCAAATGAATGCAGGTTCAGATTAGGTAAATATTTTCCATCTTTTACCTATGAGGCTGGATAGGTGAATGGCTCTACCTATCACTCTTCATCTACAAGGGATCCCAAAGTGGTATATACAGCATTACAAACAAATCCAATACAAAAACCATGTAATCACACATTATGTCATTCTGTAGAACAGAAATTCTGATATAAAAATATTAAATAGCTTTGCTATAAATTGTAAGATACATAAAAGGAACTGGAAGAGAACTTGATGATGTGCATAGCAATAATCCACAGAAGGTAATTTTATAGAAGTGAGGGGCAAGATAAAGCATTTTCCAGACAAATGGAAATGTAGGGTACACCTAGCAAGATGAAGAACCTGCAGTTCATGGCCTAATTTCATCCAGCCCTAATTTCATCCAAATCACTGAGATGTGGTTGCACATATTCTACACAATACAGCTCCAACTTACTTTCCCCTTGAATCTATAGCCTTTCACAGGAAAAATGGTATTGGATGTAAAGGCACAATCCAATCCAGGTGCCTTTAACCCTCTGAACTCAGAAGATCACAGGCATCCTAGGCAGGATAAGAGTACAAAAGTTGCCTCTATGTTCTTCCTGCCCTACAAAACATTCAAGTGTATTTCAAACGTCGAAGTGTTGCACCTCAGAGTACAAGGAGGCTGAGGTACTGGCAGGATAATATGTCACCTGGTGGCTCCTGTCTCCTCCCCTCTCCCTGGACACACCCTCGTAATCCCATCTCCAAGATCACTCTTGAAACTTTGGAGATGCAGCTGGTGAGGTTCTCTCCATCCCAGCTAAGGGAGGAAGGAGGTTGTTCTAAGTTCAGATGCCCAGCTATGAGGTCAGAGCCATTTTCAGTAGTGCTATGGAATCTATGTGTACAATCACACAAGGAGAACCAAGGCTTGGTTCAAAGATTTCAACAGTCCAAAAAACGGTTTGTAATTGAATCATGCATTTTTGTTACATGCTAACCATGCACTATGGTATAACTATGGGCTGTTAATTACAAACACTCCAGGAATAACACAAATGGTGTGTTGTAGGGTTGTGAACTCTGGGCTACTTATGCTAATAATCCCTGGTAAAACAATAGTGCAGGGTTGATATGTAATAACCCATGACCCAACAGCATTCCATTCTCAGAGTTTGCTATTAAGTGTGAACCTGGTCAGTACAGTGAAGGGGTGCCACTTTCTCATGAACAATATAGCGAAAGGTTCATGATAAAGCATCTATGATCTAAATTGACATTTACATCCAGAGCACATCTTCACAGCTGAAAAACCTGTGCAGATAAGCTCTGAGAGAGCAATAAGATCATATACTTTTTTCTTTTTCAATGTACCTGAAAGGATGAAGTAGTGTGGATTCACTAGAGCTCATGTCAGGTAGCCGCTTATTCAAAACAACCTTGTGCATTAAACACATGTTTACTGATTGGCCAATGAGTGCCAAGAATAACATGGTGCATTTTAAAGTGTATGGTTTATTTAATAAACTTGGTACATGCTTCTAAAGCAGACCAATGGAACTTTGCCTGCATCCAGTTCTAAAACTGGACAACAAGCAGGACTGCTGTGTTCATTTACTGCGGTTCTTTTGCATCAGGCTCAGTTGGCGCTTCCATCTTCCCAGCTCCATCTCCATCTTCCTTCCCATCTTCTGGTTCTTCTTGTGCGCTTTTCCCTTCTTTCCTTGTTCTGTATCCCCTGTAAGTAGCCTGAATTTTCGTGGCAGCTTGTTCTTCTGTTAAGCTAATACCTGTTCCCTCAGTTGGTGGTTGCTTGGTCTCCTCCTCCTTTACAATTAAAAAAAAAAGTTAACTAGCACTGCATTTCATCAGATAATATTTTTGAGGATTTTTACAAGTCCTTTGAATGTTCCAAAGGAGTAGCCATCTTAGTCTGTTGTGCCAAAAACAGCCAGGAGCCTTGTGGCACCTTAAAGACTAACACATTTATTATTCTGGCACAAGTTACTGTAGACACTGCCAGTTAAATGTGTTAGTCTTTCACGTGCCACAAGACTCTGGGTTGTTTTTAAACATTTAAGTGACTAGATTTAACCTGAATCTCCATTACACAAAGGCCTTTTAGAAACTGGTGTATGATGCCAAGGGTGGGAGGGAAAACAAGAGGCATCTTATTTTATCACTTTTAAAATATGTATTTTGCACAAGACATCAGTGAGGCTATTTTTAGTATTGGATCTTGTGAATGTCACTTGGGGAACTTTCCATCATTTTTCAAAAGAAAGTTTTGCCTGCTAAGAATGTAAAAATTTAGCGCTTCGATAATACCAACTGTTCATCTTTGGGATGCAACAGCAAACATCTCCCTACTCAGAGAAAAAGGAGTAACGTCAATATGGGCTGCAACTAATGCTGTATAATGTATAAATGTCACTGAAGCTTTGGGGGCATATCAAGATCAGCAGAAAGTAATAACTTGGGACTCAGAAGTTTCAGTTTTAGGAAAGTTGTACAGAAGAAGAAGACTTACTGACTGTGCAGCAGGTTCTTCCTTCTCAGTTTTATCACCACCTCCTGGTGGTGCAAGTTCCTGCAAAAAAACAGGCAATTTTTAATCTATCAACCTGTCTGGTGGTACAGTGATGCTTCATTCAAAATATTGGTCAAAATGGCCAAGTCAAGAAAGGTCAGGAATGGCCACGTAATTAAAAGTGGCCTCTAAAAAGTGGAGGACCTTGCATTTCGATGGCTTATGTAACTGAAAAATGGAGTTTTCCTCTCTCTGTCACCTTAATAGTATCACAGTTTCACACATTCAAGTGCTCAGGGAGAAGCTGGAATTATTTTTGAGTGTAGAGCTTAATTCCAACAGCACACCTAATCAAAGAAACTTAATTATGATTTCATGTGAACTTTGATCTAATAAAGTTTGTGATTTGCTAAGAAACAAGAACTGGAAATCACAGTTTGAAACATGAATTTAAAACCACAGTTTGAACCACAAACTATTGAGATATCAGATGAGAACCCATATTCTTAATTATTACTCCAATCCCTCAGGAAGCTATTGCAGCATAGAAACTTTAGTACTGTGCAAAAGGAAAATAAAAGCAGACAAGCAGCTCTAAATCATGGCTTGTTTGTCTGAAACAAACCTAACTGAAAATCTATCCTTGGAATGAATAATTTGACAACCAGTGGCAGGACTATTCAATGGTTAACCCATGCTAAGTTCCATGCAGAATTCCACCAGAATGGTGCTGCAAAGAGTCACCTGATGACAGCTCAAGTGGTCATCACACTCCACACTAAAGTCACAAATGGACATGTGGGAGATCCTTTAGGGGCAGCCGGGAAGGAAGGTGGGTGAAATTAATCAAGACTGTGCCACCACAGAGTCAGGAATTTCACTTAATGCATTCACAGACTGTCAGACTGGTTTTCATTTCGTCAGCTGCTTGTTCATGGAATTAGATTTTCCCCCATTCAGAAAAGTATGGAAAAATATGCTGCAATTTATGTAATTTTTGCTGACATGTAACCTTCTGCATAATCTTCTCAGCTCAGAATCCGACCAGTGATCAAAAGGAATGCTGCACCACAGAGACTGAAAATTGATCAGAGACATAACTTCCTTTCCAATATCTTTGGTATTTTTGTACAGTTACGTTTACATACAATTTTGGAAAATAAAACATTGCTTACAAGTCAGAAGATACTGAATCACTACAGAATCCACATCAAATTCATAGAAATTCATTTTGGAATTCCCCAATATACCTATGTAGCACTGGAGTTTCTTTAGTGCAGTTCTCTCACTCCATTTTCCTAACTAAAATACTCTCCAAGTTACTACTCCCTCCAAAAACAAATTCCAGTTTCATCTGCATGGATAACAATTTGAAAGGAAGAGTTTACTTCCTTGCATCCTACACACAGGGCTGTGCAACAAATCATGCCACACATAACCTAACCCATGGCTTTTACTTTTTCCTGATCCTTAATTTCCTACACTATATCTAGTTTGGCCTAAAGTTCTTGCATATTGAACTGGCGATGTCCATAGTAAGACTTACATTGAAAGCACGGTTATTGTAGTATCGGTCATCTAGCTTTGCTCCCCACTCAGCTGGATCATACCCAGTTTCTGAAAAAGATAGTTTATCTTTTAAAATGCACACTGAATTATCTGACAAATAAAATAAGCTTCCTAGTCAAGCTCTTCATCTTTGGGTCTGTATCCAAAGGTAGTCCTGTTCAGGCCAGATCTACTTGAAATGTGATTTGATTCTGACTAAGACAACCCTTAGAGTGGCAGTCGCAGTGCAATGCAGGAGTTAGATAGCTTTTTTTGGTCTAAGTTATACACTTCCAGCTTTAGAGACTGTGGGAACATTTTCATTTCTCCCTGTTTAAAAAAAAAACCTTCCAAATATGCACACTTAGTGTATGTAATAGAGCCAGTGTGCCATAGAAGTGAGTGTATTGGTCTGGGACTAAGGAGGTCTAGGTTCTAGTCCCCACTCAGCTGTGAAACTCACTGGGTGACTTTGGACCATTCACAGATTCTCCACCTAACCTGCCTCACAGGACTGTTGTTGTGAGGATAACGCTGAGAGCTGGAAAACCTTGTAAGTTGCCTTGAGTTCTTTCCAAGAAGAAAGTTGGAATTAAATGTAATGTAGCAACAACTGTAAGATTATATGCATCTTAATCACTTTGAAATAGTATGCAAGAAAGCTTTTCTGTAGTACTAAGGGGTGCCCAGGACTGTAGGTCAAACACACACATCCACTCACAGGAAACTAGCTGAAGAATTGAAAGCAGACTGCAGGCTTGCAGGGTATGCTTTGTGGCTTGTTTTTGTCCTTTTACTACAACTCTTTGGCGAAATAGTGCAATAAAAGTGAAACACACTTTGAAAATACTGAACTCAACAAAAAGAAACACAAATACTTGTGGAGAAAGAATGCAGCTAATTCAGGAGCAGATGTATAATAGGTCTTCACTTGCCTCATGTCCTTAGAATGGTATGGTTGCACATAAATATTTTTCTACAGTCCTGCACTGGGCTATGCCAGAAGCACTAGAGCAATAATTTGGTGCAGAATTCACAGAAACTGTTATGCAGACCTGATATCGTGCCCTATGCTATTAAAAGAATCTTCCTCAATGTCAATCTGCCTAGCAATGACTTTATGTATAGAACCAATAAAATTGTGAAGGTCTACAATATCTGGGAATGCTCTCTCACTCTCACTGTGGTTGCGGTTTGTGTGGGGGGAGTTATAATATTCTAAGCAAGAATCCACTGATTACCACCTACAGCTCTGCGACACAACTGAGCCTCTCAATTGCAAAAAGAAAAAAATCCTTGCGTAACACAGCACTCTTCTGGAAGCATCAGTCACTAGACATTTTTTAAAAGGAGGCCAAGTAGCTCTGAACCTGTCTGTGAGTCATCTTACAATTAAAAACATGCTTGAAACTTAGCTAGTGAGCAAGACTGTTTCCTCTGTCTGACAATTTTATAAAATACATTTTAAAAAAATCCTCCCAGGGAACTAGGAATTGCCAATAATGAAAAGAAAGCCACAAAAAACATGAAACCAAGGCTGATTTGGTAGCTCAAAGTAAAGAAAGGTGCTTCAGGGACCTCATGCTGTTATCTCAGATTAAGTGACAAGCAACAAGCAACAGTGTCTTGGACACAACCTACACATTAGGTTTCCTACACATAGGAAAGTCCAGCCTCTGTTAAAGTGAAGTGCTCTACAGAATCAGACCAAGCAACACACCCACTCAATGCCTGAGTGCCTAAGAGGCAAAAAGGGGAAAGGTACATATCACTTCTTCTCTTGCAACATCTGAGTTTCGCCTCCTACTCCAATCTGGCCTATTCTTTGGGCCTAAGGAAACAGCTTCTGTTTCAGTAAAGCCACCAATCTGACTGTCTAGAGCTAAAAAGCAGGGTTCAGATCCCTGCTCAGCCATCAAGCTTAATGGGCTCACATAACCCACCCACCATCTTTCAGCCTAGACCATCTCACTGATGGGGATTCTCACTGTATGGAATAAGCTTATTTATTGATTAAATAAATGCATGATCTGAAAAGGACCTTGTTCATTCAGGGAAGACACACAGGTAAATAAGCACAAAGAGCAGGCAGAAAAAATCCTAGCTAGGCAAAATGTTGCAATCCTATACATGCTCACATTCACCTGGAAAATTGCTTCTAACCTAAAATGGATTTATGTCTGAGTAAACACGCTTAGGACTGGGTGGCACAAGGGCTTCTGCCTCGCCAACATTTTTATTATTTGTTTAGCTTATATCCTGACTTTCTGTCCAAAATTGGTACGCAAGGCAACCAACAATACATTTTTAAAAAATCACAATAAAAATGTGCCACAAAGATAAATTAAAAAACAGCAAAATAAATTAAAAACAACAACAACAAAGATATAAACATGCAGCCCAAAAGCATAGCCTTCAGCAAAGAGCACTTTATATGCTAAAGACCTGCCTGGATACAAGTTTGCCCTGTACACATTATATTTGAATTCCAAGCATTCACCAGATTATGTTCCTGTTTCTGATCTATTCATCTTTTGAAAAGACTTGAAAAATAAAAACTAGAATTATATGGATGCCAAATTCCACACCAGATAAAAGTCCATGCCCTAGCATTTTGATCTTACAGGCTACTTAGGGAGCAGATGCACTGATCAGATCAATAGAAACATAAAATTGACGGCTAAAGCAGTTCAGGGCACAGTCCTTTCAACTATGCTCTCACTGCTCAGAAACCCTAAGCTCAGAAGCTTCCAAGTTTCCGAAGTCCTGCCAGGCTGAAGCTGGCAGGGCAGTAAGAACAGCAAAGGTGATCTTCAGCTCCCTGCCCTCCATCTTTCCTGATTTTTGTTAGATAGGCTTTCAAGCCCATCCAGTAAAGGCTTGTCACAGAAAGACAGCAGGAAGCTAGAGGAATCTCAGGACCACTCACATCCACTCCCCTGGAATACTCCCTCTCCTTCTCTCCCAGTATCACTTTTCTGACCTTGGAAAAGCAATAGGAACAGTTGTCTCCATGCTGGCTGCAAAGGAGGGGTTCTGGGGGAAAACCTCTGACTCCCACTTCCAATGTCCAAGCACTGTCTCCAGTCTGAGAGGTGTTTCATATGACCCCTTAGACATTCACCCATGGACCATAGGGTTGATCTCTCAAGAAAACGCTATGAATAAAATAATATTCCTGGATTGTCAAACACAATGGTTTTAAAATTCACTTCAAAGGGAAAACAAGCCCAGAGTCTCTAACCACACCAATCTGTACATGCCAACCAAGAAATAAGTCCCACTATTTTTAGTAGTGCTCAGAGGTTAAGTGGTTATAGGACTGCAGCCTTTGGGTTGCATGCTTACATGGGACTTCCAAATGTACCTCAATAGAAGTAGATTGTATGGGTGTTTCAAGATCAGGAAGAGGAATAATGTGCACACAAACAAACATCAAATGTTTGCAACATTAACTCAGTTTATGCTCACTTTCTCTTTCGATGAGAAGAGTTTCAAAATATTTGGCTGCAAAGGTTGGTATATCTTCAGGCTGGTTCCTCAAGACTTCCCGGGCAAGCCCTTCAAGCAGATTTGCAAATCCTGGAGGAATGCGCTGAGTGGTGTTGGAGAATGGAATAGACATTGTCTCTCAATAGGCTTCTATCATACCTGCAGTTTCATTTACAAGGGGAATGTATGAGCCTGGCATCACTATCTGAAAAAGTGCATTTGTCTGCTATGGTTATAACATTCTTCATGATCTAGCACACAAAAGTTGCAACAAGGTTCCCAACGGGTCCCAAAAACAACAAATTTGGTTGTGGCCTGATATTTGATACATAATCACTAAGGTTTGTTGTTGTTGTTTAGCAAAGTTGTGTCCAACCTATCGCGACCCCATGGACAACATTCCTCCATGCTCTCCTGTCCTCCACCATCCCCAGGAGCCCATCTAAGCCCACACCGACTGCTTCAGTGACTCCTTCTAGCCACTTCATCCTCTGCCATCCCCTTTGATTAACTAAAAATAGTGCCTTCTATTAATCAGGAAACTGATATGTAATTTGCAGGGCTTTTTAATGCTTGTGGACATATAAAACCGCTGGTGGAAAGTGTCATCTTCAGAAGTATTTCCTTGTATGAAACTAAAGAATGCCTCTTCTGACACATTAGGTGCTGTTAATTAATTAACATTCATACAATTAATTGGTTAAGATTTCTTTAATTAAGTGTAATTGTACTAAAACACATTGGATACTAGCATTTTTACTTGCTAATTGCCATAGTACAGACCACTGTTAAAGACATGACCAATTTCACAGATACTGTAAATGTACTTATTTACTTCTTCAATAGCATATCAATTCCTCCTCGCTACTATTAAAAATAAACTCTAGATCAGAGATGCTGCCCCTCTTTCAGGCAAAGTTTGGAGATACTGGGCATGCAGCAAAAATACCAACACTTTCTAGTTTAAAACTCTTACTGCAAGTAGCTAAGCAAGTAATTAGGCATGCCAACTTTTTAGAATGGGAAAAGGGGTACAGAAGCTGGGAAAGGGTCAATTGATTAATGGTTGGGGATAGGGTGCACGGCCATCACCAAAACACTGGACTAAGCCTCCAGGAGGGCCAGAGTTGCCAGACCCCCTGCCCTAGATCTTAGAGGCAATAAAGTTCATGCCAAGTGTGCTATTACAATGTTATTCTTATAAATTTGGTGGCAAGCAAAGTCAGGGATCACAGGAACTCAAGCTGAGATAGCAGCCTTAATTCAGCCTTTCCATGCCAAATTTGGAGTTGCCCTTTATACTTCCGCAGTTTATGTTACAGCTTAGCTGAGGATATAAACATGGGATCATAGTATCTCTTTACCTGATCAATGCAATTTGAGGTATGAATATGTAGAGCAGAGAAACCATAAACTCTCCTTACGGCACAATTCCATGCATGTTTATACAAAAAAAAAGTCTTATAACTCTGTTTGACTGGCTGGAGAATGCTGAAAGTTGTAGGACATTTTCCTGTATAAACACATACCGGATCATGCCCGCATACTTGAAAAACAGTCAGTTTCAATCTTATTTATTTGAGGAAGTCTACTAAAGCTCCTTATGATTTATTCCCTAGCAAATACATGTATTTCCTCCAGCCAGTATGGTGCAGTGTAGAGTGTGGGACTGGGACTCAGACAACCCAGATTCCAGTCCCCGCTCCGCCATGGAGCTAACTGGGTGACACTGGGCCAGTCACAGACTCTTAGCCCAACCCATCCTCTGTTGCTGTGAGGATAAGATTGAGAGCACGAAGAGGAGGAGGATGAAAAGCTGCTTTGAGTTCATGAGAAAAGAGCAGGATATAAATCAAATCAATAAATGTGGATTAAGATGAAAGCCGCATTGGTCCTACTGATTCATATCCAACATGAATGTCACAGGAAACTGCAACACGGTAGCAAGATCCAGTTACTGCCAATTATCAGCCATTTACCATCCCCTAGGGTCCAAGTCTGTCATCGAATCATACAGCTGGAAGGGGTTCTGAAGGCCATTGGGTCCAACCCCCTGCTCAACGTAGGACTGAAGTCTCCCGTCCATATTCTAACCAAGCCTGACACTGCTTAGCTTCCAAGATCAGGAAGGATCAGGCACTTCAGGCTATATGGAAGATATGTTTGGTCAGAGAAAAGGTTCTACAAGTTTTGAAGGGTTTTTCCTTCCCAAATACGCATAGGATTTCTCCAGAAATCTTATATCATATTTTCGACATTTTAGTTGCTCAATATACAGGTATTGTCGAACGACAGATTTTGTTGTTTTCAGCTTGATACAGTGCACCAACAAGGCGAATTTATTTTAATCACGAAGGTCACGCCTTTGGCTGTGTTGACGCTCTCTGCCCATGCTCAAAAGAGCTCGCGCCATTCACCACAGGGATAGGCACCTTGTGTTGGCTTGCAACTCCCATCACACCCAGCCAGCAGAGCCAATAGTGAAGGATGGCGGCAGCTGTCAGCCAAAACAGATGGAACGCCCCGAGGTACGTGGCCGCCACTGACTTAGCAGATGCCGGGCTGGGAAGCCTCGTTCTTGCGGTGCCCCTGCCTTTCTCCTCCTGCTTGAGGTCTCAGCGGGGCTCACCGCACTCAGCGCGTCTTCTCAGCTCCCCCGGTCAGATTACCGCAGGGCACCGAGGAGACCGTGGGAGAGAGTAACCCCCGCCTCGCCCCCACCAAGGCCTTTCTTTCACCTGGTCCGCGGAGGGAGCGCGCGAAAGCCAGCGTCGTTAGCTGCTGGTTACCATAGAAACCGCAGCCAGGACGGCAAGCGGAGAAGGACAAATCGCCTCGTTCATTTTGCGTAGACCTGAATTCGGCCTCTAAGCCAAGCCCCGCCCAGCAGTGCCTCAAGTCGACCACTGATTGGGTGAGGGCTCCGCCCATCGGCTACAGATCCTCCCTAAGGATCCTCCTTGGCACTCTCTGCACCCGCCCTGCGCGAACTACCTCTGCCTGGCTTGGCGTAAGTGTGCGGCGCGTTCGTTTCGCTCTCGGAGGCTTGTGATGGCGCCCGCGAAGGAGGCGGTGGGAAGACCGAGCCTTTAGGTCGAAGCGGGGAGCCTCGGCTCCTAGCACGTCTAGTCAGGACCCATTGACGCTGGGCTCTGAAGGCTGGGCTGGAGCGCGAGCGGGCAGGCGCCTGAGGCGGATGACGTCACAAAGACGGCTGTGGCGTCACGCACAAGGCCTCTGCGCAACAGCTGGGGTCGCAGTGTAAGGGCCTGAAGCCCTGCGCATCCTGTACTCAGTAGGGCGTGGACAGGTACAGAGTCCTGGCACGTGCGGCGTGGGAAGGCCCCAGTGCAGACTCCCCCGTGCATGAAGCTTGCTCGGGTGCTCTGGGCTACCTGCCAGCCTCACCTACCTTTCAGGGTTGTTGTCAGGATAAAATAGGAAGTTGCGTGTGCCTCTTTGAGCTGATTCGAGAAAGGCTGTATATAAATAATACATATTAGTGTAGTATACTGGGTAGGCTGCCAGCCAGAGAGAGAGAGAGGCTCAGACCCCCACTCAGCCCTGAAGACTACAGGAAGCTGCCTTTGACTCAGGGCTATGGCCCATCTACTCGTGGCCTATTATTCTTAGTTCTGATTGGCAGTGGCTTTCCAAGATTCTTTGCTGGCTCTGTCTGGAGATGTTTAGGATTGAACCTGGAACCGTCTGCTTGCAATCCTGCTCTGTATGGCCGAGCTGTTGCCAATTTGGCCAGTTCCTGTGTAGGCTAGGCAAGGATCATTGACCTGCCTTGCACTCCTCTGAATATTCCCTTTCTGTATTGAATGTATGAAGATGGAATGTGGAGTAATTTTCACGTGCATGTCCATGTGGACACATGTATGGGGAATGTATATCCTTGCTTGGATAAAAGTGCCACGTAGTTGCCTATAGATGGGTGTTAATCTTTGATGTGGAAAACTTGATGGTAACAGTGGCAAATAGGGACAGGCAGCTTCACTTCACAATTGTTACCATGTGCACGTCTTGCTACATTTCCTGCTGCAGATGACAAGTGTAGCTGATACACAAGTGTGTACTGCTATCTTTAACCATCCCTGAACTTTGTTGTTGTTAGTTGCGAAGTCGTGTCCGACCCATCGCAACGCCATGGTCAACATTCCTCCAGGCCTTCCTCTCCTCCACCATCTCCCGGAGTCCACCCAAGCTTATGTTTATACATAACTCCTGAGTCAAGGTCCCAACTAGATATACATATATATGTCATAAACAGTGATGTACACAGGTCAGATGAGGGTAGTCTTAGATTATCCACCACCTTAGCTTTGCCTAACACTCCCCACATAACACTTGATTGGATAGAAATACCACTCAAATCATACAGTTTGGCAACTGGTTGCATGCTTTAATTTTAGGCAAATTTCTGGGATCATCGTCCAGCAAACTCTTCAAGTCTTCACCAGGCTAAGCAAAGCCTTTCTCAAGTGTAGAAGGAAAGGGAAAAATTTCCAAATGTATTTTTTAACACAGTTGGGACTAACGTTAGGGTCCTTTCAAATGCTCCATAGAAGTAAGCTTGCCTTCTGACACAGAGTACTCACTCAGCAGAAGTCATAACTGTGGCTAACAAGTTTGCAAAGATGTTGCATTCGTGTTTTATAGTTTTAGCCGCACATTTAGAAAATGCTGCAGCCTGATTCTACATAGAGGTGCCTGAGCCCATTAAAATATATGTGTTTATGAGTCCTAATAACTGTGTAGGATCAGACTGCATGTTGTGTACAAAGGTTAAATCCTTTGTAAATCCTTCGTGGAGTAGATTCACTGAAATGGATAGGACTTGGCTACTCATTGTTAACTTGAGTCCTGTTCATGTAAGTGGGTCTACATGAGGCATGTTGAATTTTATTCATATAATATAAGGAAGTTATACTAACAGGAGACTAAGGACTAATTTTCTTTCAGTGGAGTCTTATACCTAAAGGTAAATCATACTGATTTCAATAGGGCTCATTTATAATTAAGTGAGTAGGATGCGGTCTTGACCATGTCAGATCAAATTGTGAAATTTTACAGCACTTTTCATCAGGCACCTTAAATATCCAGAACATGACTGGAACTTCATCATAGGAAGTAAACAGGTATATTTACATATTCACAGGAGCTTTGACCTGTATCAGAGACTGTTCTTGGAGCACTCTCTTCAATTCTGGGAGTGGATTTTTATGCTGTGGAAATGCAGAACAGTCCTAATGGTGTGGAGTAGTCAGATTTAGAAGCCAGGTGTAGTATTTTACACTTGCTGATGGTGGGTATTACAGTAGGACCCCATACCCACTGTTTCATTTACTGTGGCCCTTCATGGTCAGAGGGGTTGGGGGCACTGAACCCCCATGAAAGAAGAAAAACCACAAATATCTGTGGAGTCTTTGCACCCACTGAGAGGCAAAACAGTTGAGTCAGGTGCCTAATACCAAGACAAAGAGCATGGCATCCCTAGAAATACTTGCATTTTTTTGCTAGAGATAGTTATTAATTAAACGTATAAATGACACCAATAGTCCTATGTAGGACTCTCTGGGCAGTGAACAATTAAATTTGCAATTTTTCTACTTTTTGAGGGGTCTTGCACCCCTATCTCCTGTGAATGTGAAGAGCCTACTGTACAGTATATAGTGTTTGCTAATATCTGGTTTCAGGCATCTTTTGGGGTCTTGGAACCTGTCCTCTGTGGATACAGGAGTTCTGCTGTACTGTATATCATGCCTGTTATATGCTAAGCTTATAGCTATGTGCCTGTATGTGTATAAAAGGAGATAAATCACAGTAGTGATTTTTCTTCCATGCTTCTTTTTTATATTTTGTATTTAATTCTTTTTGCTGCGGAGGGCTGTTTGGCTGCAATTTTTCTCCTGGCTTGGAGTAGCCCAGTGTGAGATCACAATGAGGTTTACATCTTTGAACTACTTGATGCTCAGCTCCCAGAGCCACTTCCTGGTGTTACTTCCTGCTTTTGTTTCATCAGAATGATGATGGCGGCTGCCCTGTGGCTCCTGCTCCTGTTTGCTTGGTCTGCAGGTGAGTGTGCAGAGCGAATAGCTGCACATGGGCAAGTGTGCTTATGCCAGCAGGGATAAAAGCAGAGGAAAGCACCAGCAGGGAAGCTGTAGGAATGCATAACTACCAGTAATAGGCTTTTCCAACGCTGATGCTGAGTGAGCTGCCAGTGAAAGCACTCACTGTTCTAAAGAAAAAGAACTTAAACGATTCTAAATAAAGTAACTTGGGAGTGGTTTAAAGCATATCAAAACAGGCAATATAATGTCATGATTGGTGATTGAGCAGTGTTGTTATGAGGAGCTATAAATGTTAGTATGATTTGGCTGCTTAATTTGGTTTTTCTGTTTTCCAGAAAATTTAATTTTTAAAATCAATAAAAATGTGTATTAAAAAGATCTGTCAGTCTAGTTCTACATCTCTCTATCTCAATTGTAGAATATTTTTCAGCCCCTTTAACAGTGCAGCCCTAAGCAAGTTTACACAGACGATCCACTGAGTTCAAAGTTCAGTGGGACTCTATTGTGTGTAAGCAGCTGTTGCTCTCCTAATTTTGTAATCAGTTGCCTTATCAAGCTTTCTGTTTCTTGTGCATTTGGATGAGATCTGTTTAATCATTTTCTCCTGTCCTGGTGAAGATTTTTCCCAATCTACTCTTTGCCATTTCTGCATTTTGACAGGCTTGTCTTTCTTTACAATAACTAGGATTTTTTCTCCACTTAAAAAAAAAAAAAGCAGCAGCAGGTCTGTCTTGTTTTGCTTTTGGATACCCCATCCCCCCCACCCCTTTTCTTTCTCTTGCATATGCTATTCCCAGTAGCTACAAACATTTGGATTGAAATGTGATCTTAGGGAGAAATTAAATTAGCCATACAGTATAGTTCTAACTGTTATATTAAATCATTCAAGGCTTTAAGTGGAAATTATTTTACTGGAATATTTGTAAAAATGTAAAGGTGATCGTTTATATTTAACAAAAATGATTACACCTTAAAGAACACACTGTTAGACCTGCCCTCTTTGGCATATACAATATGAGGGGTCTTCAGAAAGATTCTGCACTTTTATATTTTATAAATATATTTTTTTCTGATGGCATTAAAAAGTTGGTATGACTCCAGGAAAACTGCATCGCAAAGGAAGGTGACAATGTAGAAAAGTGATGTAATGTGTTTTTGAAATTCTTAATAAATAGAGTTAAGAAAAGTGTGGAAACTTTTTGAAGACCCTCCTATTAATGAGGTAGCTAACAGTTTCAGCTTCACTCACTCTGCGTTGTTTATTGGTTCTGTTCTGAATTGAGAAAATCTGATGGAGAACAACTAGCTGAACATTCTGTTTCACTAAAGGATGAGTATGGGTCTGTGGGCACAGGCTGGGGAACTTTGGCAAGAGGGCGCTGTTTTACTCATGTCCTTCTTGCAGGATCTCATGGACAACTGGTTGGCCACTGCGTAAATGGAATGCTGGGCTAGGTGAACCCTTGATCTGAGCACAGCTCTTCTTATGTTAAGTGAAAAAAAGCAGGGATAGTCTTAGCTTTTCATTTATTTCAATCTGAAGATTAATCTTCTTCATTTATTGAAGATTGTTAGCAATAGAAGACAAGATAGCATGGATACGTCTAGTACAGATCTAGCTAGGAGCCAACTAATTGTGCATAAGGATGTGTTGTCATACCTTATTTTTCAGTTTTCCCATAAGCAACTGAACACTAGGGCTTGTCAATGCTTGCCTTAGCAGAATAACTCATAAAAATCCATAGTCTATGTTTGTTCCATTTAACATGATTGATTGCAGTGCAGCAGCCAGACAGCTATGCATAAATGCAGACATATATGGTGTGGGTTTTTTAAATGAAAAAATACAGCATCAGGAATTTTTTCTTCCCTGCATTACTGACAAAAATATGAGCATCTTCCTGTACATGTGTTATTAATGTTTTAATTTTTGCATTTATATGTCACTGCCTACTCCTAATGGAGCCTTTGCATAGTACCTCTGATAAGTAGAATAGCATGGAAAGAAAAGTGTTATCTGAGCCTGACTTGATCCAGTGGAAAAGGCTATTTTATTTCTGAATAATATCTGCTAATGTTCATGATGTGTTTGTTGTTGTTATATATGTGCAAGAGCTGCTGCTGATTAGAAGCAGTCTTATTGGTTCTTGCTGCAGTGCTTTCGCATCAATCTGACACATTGACATTTAAGTGGGTGAAGGTTTTCTCCTCTTATTAACATGACGGGAGAAGTGTAGGCTTTCCACATTTATCAGTATAAATGTAGTAAGCCTTCTAAATTCTATTTAGCATTAATATTTAGAAAATCACAGCACAGACATGTTACATTTTATAGTCACCTCAGTTCTCAAAGCAGTGTGCATTTCCTGATGTTCTCAAGCTGATGTCCCACAGATGTGTTGGACCTCAGAGTCTTCTTGTAGCCTGATACATCTAGAGGGCAATAAGTTAGGGAAGGCTAACAAGTATAATCAAAGTAACAGAAAAACATCCTTGGTGGGTGGATTTGCCTTGAATGCAATGTTAGGGTATGTAGACGGAATGATTTTCTGAGAGGTAAAATGAGATAAAAGAGCGAAAGTAAAGAGTCTGAGAACGGGTTCCTCTTCTAAGTAACATGCTTCCTTGGCAACCCGTTAGAAATAGGCAGCTATTTTTTGCAGGCAGAAAAGACTAGCTGTTGATTGGCTGCAATGCAGCGATGCACCTCAGGAACAATCTGGAGAGGCCACAACTGTTCACAGGAATGTCATGACATTTTGTGTATTCCAGGTGCAGAGCTTCGCTTGGCCTCATATTATGCTGATCACATGGTATTGCAGAAGGAACCAAGCCAGGCAGTCATATGGGGCTATGGAGATTCTGGTGCCAACATAATGGTGACTGCTTCAATGGGTCACAAATTTGTGAAAAAAATGGCAGAGGTTCAAGGTAATAAATAAAATAAAAGGTTTCAACCAGCTGCCCTTAACCCAATGCATACACACATCCAAATGGCACACTTCCCTTTTGGACTCATCTCTGCATGTCTGTGGGTGCCAGCAGATTCCCCAAAACTGATACCTAACCTCTTCTTCCAACCAAGCAGTCAGCAGGATGCCAGGATTTCAGAAAGTGCAAACAGAAGGTCACTGGAAGACTTGCCTGGCACTCAGAAACCAAAGGGCATAATTTCCACCCTATTTCATCTGCATTAGTTGCAAATTTCTAGGTTCAATTTAGCTTATTGGCTTAGAATCGGGTTTCTTCTGAAATCACATGCTTCTGGATTTTGAGATTGAGCTTGGTGGCCCTGTTTTCTGTCTTGTGAGCTTGTGAGCACAGTGCAGATGGACAGTTGCAAGACAATTGGGCTTGATTTTGGAACTCGTTCCTGATGGAGTTTTCCATCTTCTTGACAGATTTCTGGACAGCATGCAAAATTTATGTATTACCTTTGAATACTTTCCAGATGATAGCAAGTCTGAGATCTTAGAATTTTGTTTTTCAAATATTTCAGGAGGCTATAAAGTTTGGAGAGTTGTTCTGAGTCCTATGGCTGCAGGTGGCCCTTATGTTATACATGTTCAGCAGTACAACAAGGAGAAAGTGTCAAATGTAACATTGAATGATATCTACTTTGGAGATGTCTGGCTTTGCAGTGGGCAAAGTAACATGGAAATGACTGTTTCGCAGGTGAGCCTCATTCCCTCAGAGTGCAATTCAGGCACCTGAGCAGAAGCATATGCTCAGTTTGGAAATAGAAGGTTGACATGGGCTGGATTCAGACATAACACAGACCTGTGGTTGCATTAGCTAAACTCAGTGGTGTAGTTGTAAATTGTGAAGCGCAGGCACTCAGCATGACAGTCCCCATAGCCACATCTCTAAAGAAGGTCCCAAAATGCAGGCGCTGTATTGATCTGCCCAGAATAATCTGCCCAGAGTTTTAGCCCAGAATGTTGCACATGATGGTAGGTTTACATTATGTGTAAACCAGACCATTGTCTGGAACTAGCTAGTTCCAGTGGAGGTCTAATTTGGGAATCTTTGTTCATGACCTAACATGACAGTTGAAAGAACACAATTGTTTTTGTTTTGTTTTGTTTTTTGCCTTGGTTTAAATGCAGTTTCAGTGGAATCTGTCCTTTCTTCCTAGATATACAACGCTAGCCAGGAGCTTGCGGAGGCTTCCCACTATCCACTTGTTCGTGTATTTGCAGCTTCTCTTGTTCAGTCCGAGAAGGAACTGGAGGATCTTGCTGACATCACTTTGCAGTGGTCTGTTCCAACAGCCAGTAAGAACAATTTTTGTGCAGAACTAATAACCAATTGGTAGAGGTTTTTAAACATACATTTTGTATTACTGTACAATTACAGGATATTCCTGATTTTGAGTAGCATCCCATCTTAGTCCTATGTAGAGCAGACTCACTAAAGTGTAGGTATGACTAGCTGAAATCCCATTCATTTTAAAGGATATACTCTGTGAAAGTCTAAAGTGAGATGCTACCTCTGTGTTACATTCTCAGCTGGAGCTTGCATCTTAAATAAGTGTCAAGCAATCAAACAAGATTGAAGCAAACAAAGGGAAGAGTAACTATTAAAACAACGCACAACTTGGTTGATAAATCAGATAGGTTTTAATTGATCATATATTTGCATGTGAGTAAAGCCACCCTGCCCAGTAGGCAGTTTCTAAGAGTGGCCAAGATCATGTGCTGCAAGTGGATGTCTATACTAAGATCACAAGGACTCCGTGCCAAAAACCTGATTTGTTACAGCTGCTCAATAGTTGTTAATGCATCCAAATTAGGAATTCTCAAGCTTTTAAAAGTTCTAAACTTCTTTTTTAAAATAATAATTTAACAGAAAACTTGGGCCATGGAGACTTCAGTTACTTCTCAGCTGTGTGCTGGTTGTTTGGCCGATATTTGTTTGAGAAGCTCAAGTATCCCATAGGACTGGTAGAGTCCTCCTGGGGAGGGACACCAGTTGAGGCCTGGTCTTCCAAGAGAGCACTGAATGAATGTGGGATTTCTGAGCCAACAGAAAGGTAAGGAAGATTAAGACTATCAGTTCTGTTATTTTCCCATACTTTTGACTGTTTCCTCAATCAACAGGATCGTTTCCCTCTTAAAAGAGTTCTGTCTGCCCACTCTTCCATAGTGTAGCAGTACAGGATACCTTCCAGACCAGTGGCTGATTTCTCTCTTAAAGAAGTTCTTGGGGACTGCATGTCAGTGTTGGGCAAGGCTGAAGGCAACAGGGGTTGGGCCTCTAATTGGTTCAATGCCTCTAATTAATACATCCATTATTTAGTGTTCCCCCTTCTCCAGATCACAACGCAACACTCATGCAGCTTCATGACCATTTAAAAACAGGAAAAAAAACCCTGCTCTGGGACTGCTGATGTACTGGACACCTGCATCCCACTTTCATGGGGTTCAGAATGAGCATGGTGGAAAACTTGTAACTCATATTTTGATGGTCATAGATTTTTTCAATAGTTAAAAGTGGAGACAGATCTATTAACTTGCTTTCACAACTCTATAAACTTCATGGTCTCTGCGGTGGTGCCCTGTCTATGGAATGCGCTCCCCAGAGAGGTCCTCCTGGCGCCGTCATTATTTGTTTTTCAGCGCCAGGCCAAGACCTTTTTATTCAAAAGTTATTTTAATTGTTAACTGTTGATTGTATTTATTGGTTTTTATATCTGTGCTGAGATGTCTCCAGATTTTTAAGGTTAATTCCAGGATTGTTTTATTTGTTTGGTAAGCCGCCCCAAGGCTCTTTGTGAATGGGACGGCATAAAAATGTGATGAATGAATGAATGAATGAACTCTTTCCAGTTTATTTGTCAATGACATTTATATCACAGTGTTTCCCCATGGAACTCAAAAGAACATGTGGCTCCTTTTGTTCTCATAACAACCCTTTGAGGGCACTAAGGTGAGGGAGAGGAACTGGTTGAAAGTCCTCCAGAGAGAATCATCTCTGAGTGAAGATTTAAACCTGGATCTCCTGGTTTGAAACTCTCTATCTTTCCCAATGTAGGGTTCCCAGATGTTGTGGAACTACAGCTCCCATCACCCCTGACCATTGTCTGTGCTGATTCAGAACAATGGAAAGTGTGATCTGACCTCATCTAGGGACCCTAAATTGGGAACAGCTGTTTTGACCACACTGGCTCTCAAATTTCTATCATGTCATTTTTCCAAACTGGAACCAATGGTAATATTGGTGACCAATGAGACCCCCAGGCTTGTTTAGCTTCAAGCAAGATTGCTTTATCCATCAAGTGTCTTCTGTGAGGTGTGTGAAATGTGAGTCACATTCAGAAGTATCTGGCAAGACTTCCATGCAGAAAATACATTTTATTCAACCTGTTAAAGCCTGGCTTGTACTCGAGCAATGTTGCTATATAGGCTGCATTGTGCAGACCTGTCCTTCATACTGGCCAGCTCCAGACCAGATGCATCTTCTGTATGGCAGCCATTATTTTAATGGTCCCTAGAAAGCAAAGAATTTACAGAAATCAGAAATTCTGATAACTTACTTATCTGTGTTGCAGAATGTCATCCTCATACCTTAATGCTGGCCCCAAAGAGGGGTCAGTACTCTGGAATGCAATGATTCACCCTCTTCTCAACATGACCATAAAAGGTGTAATTTGGTATCAAGGTATGTTAAGCTCCGTTCTGAGACCAAGCAGGCGTGGTGCCTCTACTACACTTGGACTTTTTCCTCTTCTGTGCTTCTTCTACAGGTGAAGCAAACACTCTCATGAACACAGATCTCTACAACTGCACTTTCCCTGCACTCATTGACGACTGGCGGAAAGCCTTCCATGAAGGATCTGATGGGCAAACGAAGGAGGACTTTCCCTTTGGCTTCGTCCAGGTAAGTGCCAGTGGCTCAAAAGCGAAAGTACTGGACTGGTTAGTTGGCCCTGAGAAATACGAGAGGCTCATGCAGGGTATTCTGTGCTTTGTACGTGTGGTTAGCCTCCTTGTGTTCTTGCTGAGGAACAGAAGGATATCATAGAAACATAGAAACAGAACAGAGCAGAAACTCCTGGGCCATCTAGTCTGACCTCCGGCACCAACCGACTCCGCTCACAACATGCCCACCATGTGGACGTCCAGCCTGTCCTTGAACACCCATATTTTTGGGCATATTTTTGTCAAATGATGTGGTTCTTTTCTTGCCTCCTCCCCAAGCCTCCAGTAGCTGGATTACTCTTCAGAGAGCATCTGGTGATACCATCTTAAGGGAGTGGGGATTTGAATCCATCCCTTCCTGCTTCTAGTATCTAGTAGATTGTACAGGGTGGGGGGGATGTAGAGGTGGCGGTTTTATTTTATTTCTATACCACCCCACAGCTGAAGCTTCTGGGTGGTTTACAACAATTCATAAAAGCAGAGAATACAACTTCAGTAAAAGCACCATCAAATCAGGAAAAAGCAGAATGTTTGCTATTGTCCAGTTGAAAGAATGTCTGCAAAACATCTGGGATGGGTGCTCCCCCTCAAGCCCCTGGGTGGATTTTAGTGGCCTCAGAGAAGAGGGCTGTGTTAACCTGGTGCAGCGGGGAGGTCGTTCCATGGATGGAGAGAACCACAGGGAACGCTCTCCCCCTTGTTGCCACCCTCCCTGCTTCCCTCGTAGGCGGCACTCGAAGGAAGGTCCCAGAGGCTGCGCACGTTGTCTGAGCAGATCATGGTTGGGAGAGGTGCTTTGACAAGTATGAGGATTGTGCTCCTAAGCCATGCACAGCTTTATAGGATAAAACCAGCACCTTGAATTGGGACTAGACGTGGTGATTAATACCATCTTGAGCATAAAAAATAAGTTTTCCACCTGGGTTATTGCATAATTCCTGCCTATATGTCAGCCAGCTTGGCAAATGGCAGCTGTGGAATCCATGCATTAGAATGGGTGTGTCTGCCCAAGTTAAATGTGTTCATAGAAACATAGAAACAGAGCGAGTCAGAAGGGACCTCCCGGGCCATCTAGTCTGACCTCCGGCACCAGCCGGCTCTGCTCACCACATGCCCACCATGTGGACGTCCAGCCTATCCTTGAACACCCGCACCGATGGGGCCTCAACGACCTCTCGTGGAAGCCCATTCCACACCCTCGGGGTCCTGACTGTCAGGAAGTGCTTCCTGGCATCCAAATGGAACCTTGGCCCCCTGAGCTTTGCTCCATTGGAGCGTGTCATATATGGGGACACATAGAACTTTAAGATGGAAACACAAACGGACTTTACGTTTTTCTGTATACCTATTTTTATGGTCCGACAGGTTCAAAAACAATACCTTCTCTGTGTTCTGGAGCAAACTTGGTTTCCATTTTGGAGGAGTCATGTCTGGCAGTGGCTTCTGGTCTGTCATAGTAACACAGCAAGCTGTCATATACTGAGTCAGATCATTGGTCCATCTAGCCCAGTATTGTCAGCACTGACTGGCAGCAGCTCTTTGGGGTTTCAAGCAGGATTCTTTCCTTACCCTTCCTGAGGATACTGGGAATTGAAGCTGGGACCTCCTGCATGCAAAAAGCTGCCCTGCCACCAACCTGCTGCCCACCCTGCGATCAATACCCCTGCAATCAATACCCCTGCAATCAATACCCTGCAATCAATACCCCCACTGCTGCTTTTGCCAACCATAGTCACAAAACAAGTGGTTCGCATTACATTCCAGAGTTTGCATAGAAGGTACAAGCAAGAATGCTAGCATGGTAAACCAGACAAGGGCCACTAGGTATGCAATGTAGAGCTACAGCTAAGTTTCATCCAGAAATGCCCAGTGCTGCTCTTGACCAGATGCTCTGTGTTTCAGCTCTGTACGAATCAGCGTGTGGAGGTGAATGACCACTTTCCACGCATCCGATGGCATCAAACAGCGGACTATGGCTACGTGCCCAACAAGAGAATGCCCAACACCTTCATGGCTGTGTCCATAGACCTAGGTGATGATGGCTCTCCCTATGGCAGGTAATGCTGGATCGATGGCTTCAACCCCAGGGTGGTAGGTAGCCTGTGTATTTACTCCGGAGGGCCAAGTGGATGGAGCTGGAAGCGGCTTGCGTCAGCAATGGCAGGAGTGATTCTGCACGACAAGGCTCACGTACCAGCTGCACCATTCCTGGAGATGGCAGAGCTGTGCTGGAGCGTAGACCTCATCTCTGCCTTGTACTTGGTCTTTTGTGTGGATTACTTGTCCTTTGCCACACCTTCCATGGCAGCCATTTTGTGGTGGTGCCTGGGACAGTTTGTCAAATCGCCCAGTGTACCTACAGCACCAAGAGCTTTCCTGTCCCTGTTCTAGATAAGAGCCCTTAATAAAGCTGCTCCTCTTTAGGGCCTGTGATGAAATGGCATGTGATACTGTCGTGCTTCTCCATGGTAACCAGTATACATTTTGGTGCAGGTCTCATTTCAATATGACATTTTTCTCAGCATTCTGCTTTCATTTGTTTGTAGGGCAGTGGTCCAGAAACCACCTGAATTAGGGAGTGCCTTTGGCAAAGATTAGTATTTGCCAGTGTTTGTGATTAGTAGTGGCTAAGACTGACATGCCTGTCCTATGAAAGAGCAGTTTTTCCTAGTCTGACCCAGCTCCAGAGTGCCTTCAAAAATCTGCTTCATTAGCCAGTGCCTGGGATGTCCTAGAGACCAAAGCGCTTCAGACCAATTGAAGGATAATTCAACATAAGTCATAGTCTCTATTTCACATCAAGGAAATCCACATTTTGCATGCAGAATCTTGTTTCATGCCATGCCTGTGAGGAGGAGAGAACCAAAAGCGGCAGCATTACCACAGGGATGGAAAGCGGCAATGACAAGAGAAATAAAACAGGTGGTGGCATACACAAGAGAGAGGGAAGCAAGGAGGAGAAGGTGGGAGGAGAGAAAGGGACAGGTGGCATTGACTGAGAATGTGACTGGAGCCCTGGTGAAAGAGGTGTTCCTACAGTGTGCGGATTTGTTTTGCAAGGTATTGCTGACGGGATTTGAGCCAACTACAAGCCTCCTATTAAATTATTCTGCCTCTGTAAGTTTGCCACCTTCTTGCATATCGTGCATACCTTACTCTGTGTCCAAAGCTGATGTTTTCATGCTTGCTTGGGAAAATGGAACAGCAAGGAGCATGAGAGACAGTTACCAGGAAGAAAGGAGGGTGCGGGTGGCAGCAGGAGTGAACCTTAAAAGCAGGAAGGCAACTGGTAATGCCCCCGCCGATGGTCTTGCTGGGGCTTGTGGTTCCAGTTGTGCTGGGGCTTGTGGTTCCAGGGGCTTGTGACAGCAGAGAGCTGTTTCTGAGCATTGACACTTCTGTCATCCAACCAGAGCAATCACCTGCACAGCGACATCACGAGGCACCCGCAGTCAGGCCCAGCTGGCACCACAGCATGAGTGACGAAGGCAAGAGATGTGTTGATCAGTGAACATAATGAGAAGAACAGTAGCATTTACTACACTTCAATAAACCTTTCTTTGCCTCCTAGAGAGCACTGGATAGTGTTTTATTTTTTTAATATGGAAATTGAAAAAGAAGAGGCTGGGTTTCAGGTTTTGTATCTGGTAGCCACACTTGCTCAGTGAACCTATGCAGGTGGGGATTATGCATACTCTGTGATAATCTTCATGTTTTTTCCCCACATAAATTTACTTATAAAGCTTTTCCTTGCTTCACAGTATCCACCCCCGAGATAAGCAGACTGTGGCCTATCGATTGCTTCTTGGTGCACTGGCAATAGCTTATGAAGAGAAAAGCATAGTCTTCCAGGGTCCATACCCTCAAAAAGTGCAGGTGGATAGAGCCCATGCAGCTATTAATGTCACCTATGAAGAGCAAGTCGTGCTCCGCCACATGAACAACAAGACGTTTGAGGTAAGACCTGTGCACAGGGCAGGGGAGGTACCACACGGGACTGGGGAGAACCCAAGTTCTGATCGCTGTTTCACCCACTGATGGCTCCAGTAATGCCTGTCTGGCCTGTGCCGTATGAGAAACAGCAGGCATTTACGTGTCTTGTTAAGCAGCTAGACAGCTGTTGAAAACTTCCATGAACTCCAATACCTTCTTTGCAAAAGCACATTCAAACAAATAGTTGCCAGAGGTTTAGACATTAATGGCTGTGTGTTGAGTTATTTTGAGGGGACAGCAAATTTACACTGATATAAAGCTGTATACTCACTACTTTACATTGTAGCAAAGTGTCATTTCTTCAGGGTTGTCCCATGAAAAGATATGATAAAATATTTACAAAATGTGAGGGGTGTACTCACTTCGGTGATGCACTGTACTCCCCCCCTGAATTTGGTACCAGGTACACTTGCCCAAAGCTGTGGCCATTCTGTGCTGCTCATTTCTGTGGTGCTCAGCGGGGCGGATCTGAGCAAGTGCTCTGTCTCTCTCTGACAGGTCTGCTGTTTTGCTCAGCCAGAATGCAAGTGGAGACCCGTGTCCATCGTGTCCTCCTCATCCCGTTCGGTGGTTCTGCAGAATGTGCCCTGCCCAGATGCTGTTGGCGGCCTGCGCTATGCGTGGCACGAATGGCCGTGTGACTACAAACTGTGTCCTCTCTACAACTCGCAAGCGCTGCCAGCCCCTCCATTCATTACATTTGCCCACGATAACCCTGGTTGGAGTACATTGTGAGTGGAATGATAACCCACAGGATGGACGGCAGCTTAGATTTTGGATTTACAGGCCAGAGCACACAGGAGCAAAGCAAAGGATTATTTTTTATTGAATGTAGTAAACTTCTCATGCTGATGGTTGCAGAGAAAATTGTAAGACCGGGTAGAGGGGAGGAGTGCTTACCAGAAATGTGGGGGTGGATGGATTGCTTCTGAAAATCAGTTCTTGCACACAATACCTGCCTAGACCTTTGTTACAGTTGAAACATTTTCTAGGAATTGCACTAGAAACTGGGGAAGGCCATATACACCGTCCATGCATACGAGGCACACGTGCCACCTAGTCCTATGCATGCTTACTCAGAAGTAAGTCCCATTGAATTCAGTCAGACTAACAGCCAAGTAAATCTCAAAAACATTGCAGTCTTGATTCTGATAGGTCATATGTTGCATTGGCTATTTTGATAGGCCCATATTCTCAGGATACTGCAGCAGTTCAGAAATCTCTTCCGCATGCTGTGATATTGTGGAGCATTGAATCATCATGGTGAAACAAGGCAAACCTTTTAAAGAACATTATTTCTGTTAGGAGTAGGCTTAATTCAAATTAGGGCCTTGGGCGAGTCCAATATAATCTACCTGTAGCATAGAACTGAACTGGCTACTGAGAGAATTTGAGTTTCTCGTTCAGCTTCTGCTCCAGGAGTTATACCATCTAGCATAACATTGACACTGCACTAACACCCCTGTTCCACTCAGCACCCTTCTATATTAAAAAGCCCATTTATCACTGAACGTCTGGTTTGAAAAGTGACTGTAAGGAAGTGCATTACTCACCGCCAAAATCCCCAGCCACTAGCCATGAAAGTTTCTCCAGCTGTGGATGCTGATCAGCTTGACTTCAGCACATAAATGGAACTGCTGGCATGTCTGCCTTTGAGGAAACAGTGAGCCAGTCTTTTGCACTCAGACTGCAGATTGTGCCCATTATGCCAACCAGAGCAGAAAAAGGGAACAGCCTGCTTCTTTGGTTATGTTCGCTGGATTTGAGTTAATACACAAGAGGCCAGACCTGCTGAGTAATGTGTTCAGGAAGAACAGATGCACAGCATAAGGATGATGTGCGAGCAAGAATGGTGTGCTTTATTCGCCTCCTGCTGGGTGCGCCAACATTAGACTTGCGGCTTTTGAGAGGAACTTGTTTCTGTAGCCATTCTGCGTTAAATGTCACATTGACTGAGGGTGAGAGAGAGTGGCAAGTTGATGAACATTTTGATATTCTGTGGCTCCGAGCCATTAGAAAGTTTGGACTTTGCCCTTGGAGAATACGCTTCATCGTAGCCCTGTGGGGTAGTTGTTAGTAAGGTGCTGTTTCTTTTTGTCATCTGTTTTCAAGATGGAGACCAGAGCACTACAACACAGGGTTGTTGTGAAAGGAACAGCAAAGTGTGCAATTTGACTACAGATTAAGGAAACTACAAAAGGATGTATGTCTGAGAACAAGGTGGAAAATAGTCAGGTTATTTAGATAAAATCTTTCAAGCTTTCAGTTATATTATTAAACGTGACTTAAAATATAGTCCAGATTTAGCATTGGCAAATCTTAAAATTTGGTCTTAACAAATCCATAAACCTCAGTCAGGTTGCAACTTGAATTTTATAACGGTATAGTCTGCAGTAGGACATCTTGTTGCCATGCAAATTATGAATAATTACCACAAACCAAAAATAATGGAGACCTCTTTGGTTGAACAGCAGTGTTTGCCCATAGTATTCATGGATTAAGACCAAAGAGTAAGACCTGTTAACATAGTAAGGTCTTACTAATGTGTAAACAGATGGCAGTGGGATGTCGGGTCTTGGGGACGTACACTCTGTGTGTCTTGACTAGTATGCTTGTCGGCCCCACAAAAAACCTGTTTTAATTTTATCATTGATTTCTTACTTTGCTATACATTTTATAGTGCCAAAAGTATATGGACTACATAAGTAAAGTTTGGGATAATATTTCTATGCAATACAAAGTCAGATTCATGTGTTTTCATTGGTATATCATCCATTTTGTATGTGTTCTTGTAATTCTGCTCTTATTTGAACAACATTAGAAATGTGAGTTAGAGTGGGCATTTTTCTTGTTGATTTAAATTACTTCCGTAAAATGATTTTGACCATGCAAAGAATAGATTGGATCTAAGGTCATTTCACCAACTGCCTTCTAAAGGTCTATCTCAGCAAGCTTTGTGTTCCCCACAGAGGCTCTCTGAAGTCCACAAGCAGAGCTTGCATGCAGAATGTTCCAGGGCAAGAGATTTATTACTTCAAATCAGTCTCAGACAACCTGATGCTTTCCAGATTTTCTGGACTCCAACTCCCAACAGAGACCCATCCTGCATGGTCATGAATTCTGGGAATTGAAGTCCAGAACATCTGAAGGGCACCAAGCAGAGGAAGGCTGCCTTAAAACAGCATCAAATCTTCTCTTTCTTATATCCCAACCCTTGTACTTCTTTTAAAAAGTTGCAAATGCACTAAAATGAGTACCATACAAAATTGGGCATTAATAAATTTTGCAAATTCATGTTTAACTTTCCTTTAGCTCTCTTAAATTAGAGAGCCTTTACTGTTTCCTTTAACAAAGCACAAGGATCCAATTTAAGTTTCATTTACTTTAGTTCCATACTTGATTTATCTAGAAGAATGAACTTTTTAAACTGGGGTAGGCAACCTGTAGCCCTCCCAGTGTTTGAGCCTATAACTCCTATCATGCCTCCCATCAGTCCTCAAACGTACTAGGAGAAGATCAAAACATCTGGAGGACCACAATCGATTCACCCATTTTAAACCTTCCTACAAACTTGATATTACCCATCTGTGCCTAGTCACTCCCAGGCTGAATTACTACAATGTCCCTTAAGCAGGACTGCCTCTGAAAGATCCAAAATACAGTCCTGACCAAAGTTTGAAATAGCAATCTTATTTGATCTCCACTAGTTGCTTGCTCCCCGGCTCATGTTTATAAGCCCTAAATGACAGGCTTTTCTCAGAATTTGCCTGGCAGCAGAGGCCTTGCTTGCTATCCTATCACGCTGGAAGATCAAAAGTGTACACACATGACTTGTTAGGGGCAGCACCACAAAGGGAGAATACTCTTCCAGAGGAGATCTACCAATAGAAATCTTTCCATTTTAGATAGGTTTTGAAGACTCGCTAGTTTCAACTAACCTTTAATGTATGATCTCCTAATGCAGTGAACCTTTGGGTACCCTAAAATAGTTGTCTTGCAAATTATTAAAAGCTATTTATAGCAAGATTATACATGACATGATTAGTAGATTGCTGGCTGTGAACTGTATCTTCAGGTGGAATTCATGGATTATTTCAAGTGATGCTGATACGTGATCCAGCTTTCAACATGGCTCTCAGAACCAAATACAAAAGAGCCATCCTGATCACTGTAAAATTAAGTTTACTTCAGTTGATTCAGCAGAACTAACACAAGAAGAAACACGAAAGGGTTGCTTAAAGTTCAATATGTGTATGGAATGTATGTTGCCACCTCTCTTAACCCTCACGGAATGCATCTTGTACCTTTCACCATTTTATGAGTCATGCTTGCTGTGAAAGACAAGCTACCACTGCTGTTGAATTTCTACTTGCCCGCAGCAGTCTGAGACACGGGGCACTACCACAGCAATGGCAGTCTAGCCTTAGGAGAACAAACAATGCAAAGCCATTTGCCAGTATATTAAAAACTTTATAACAAATGTTCGAGAAGTTGATACCCAGAAAAAAAGTATTGATGGGAATGGCCAGGCGCAGCCCCACCAGCACAAGATGATGCAGCTTGGAATCGTACTGAAGACTCAGTGGCCTTGGGCGACAGGGCGGGATAGGCTGTGGGACCCGGTGCTCCAGGGCTGCTCCCCAGTCCCACGTTCTCCATTTACTACGCCATCCACGAAGCAGAGCATGGGTCAGTTTTCTTTAGATTCCAGGTCAGATTTCATGTCTAAACACAAGAGAGAACATGACACGACAAGTGATGCTGCAGCACATTCATGACCAGTAGATGATCTGGATGCTGCTCCACACAGCACAGCCAAAAGAGGTTTGTGGCTTGCCTCGAGAGGAGCAGGAAACCTCAGGGACTTGGTCGTAGTCTGTCTCCCTACGCAGCTGACCAGCTGGACGGATGACTGGTGAAGCCACGCCACGGCCACCTTGAGTACTGTACTATGTGCTATGGTGGACTAGGTGTTTACTCTGTTGCACATATAGGTAAACTACCATGTGGCACTGCCTTCCCCATACTCATTGGAGGAGGGGTAGAATGAAGCGATGGAATAAGACTGCTCACCATCCGCACATAGCATGAGAAATGGCAGACTGTAGCCTTTCCCCAGCCTTGTTTCTTCCAGATGTTTTGGCCTGCAACTCCCGTCGTCCTTGTCATTGGCCATGGCAGTGGTAGCTGCAAGTAACTGTAATCCAAAACTTCTGGACAGCAGTAGCCTGCTTACCCTTGCAGTCTGTATGGAAGAAAGAACAGGATGGCCCACTATGGGATTTGTGGGACTCTGTTCTTCCTACAGACTGAGAAACCATTCATTGCAGAGCATTCCTTAGCTCACAGGAGTCAAGGGTTGCTTCTGTGCTGCCAGACTATCCAGAGTGTACATCCTACTAAGCAGAGGCAGCTGATCAGTAAAATGTCCTTTTGCCATTACCTTGGAAAAGTGCAAGCTCTAGAGAAACCTCTTGCATCAACAATTTCTCCTCAGGCAGCCGCTGCTGTGCTGCCACCGTGCCGTCAGTGTGGCGGCAGCCAATAAATATTTCAGGGCCTGAAGCTTTCCAGTGGTGCTTCTGTCCCACTCTGCTGTTTGTAAACGACATGGCTTTCTCCCATTAAATTGCCCTTCCCCAGACTGGATGTTTGAGGCTACAGCTCTCATCATCTCTGGTCCCTGGCCATGCTGGCTCAGGCTGATGGGAGTGGCAGTCCCACCAAATCTGGAAGGCAGCAGCTTGAGGGAGCCTGTCAGCACCAGCTGGCTGCTTGGCAGCAAGGTATAATAGGGTGGTCACCTATGAATCAGCAGAAAAGGGGACAGCATTTGGCATACAAATTCCATCTCTTAATTTATAGGGTTGGATGAACACTTAGATAGTATTATTACACCTTATATAGTGATACCATCTCACCATGTGGCAAAAGACCACAACCACCTGACTACCTGTTCAGGGTCTGAGGAATAGTTTTTATGTTTGTTTTTAAATAGAACAGTAACTGGCCCTCCTATTCTGGATTACCTTCTGGAAAATGACCACAAGATTGCCTGCTAGCTTCCTTTCTCTGCCCAGCCTGTTGGGCAACAATTATGCTCTGTCCCATGGTTTCCTCTCGCCTACAGTTCCTCTTGCGCTCTGACGGACACCAGGCTTTGCAGCAACTAACCCCCCAGAACAGCGTGACTCCTGGTACAAGGTTTTTTCCCTTCCTGTTTTAGTAAGAAGGCAGAGGTTCTGTTCCATCTTAATGCCCTGTGGAACGATTAACGTTACATGTTAGCCCACAGTTCCAAAAACTGATGCCTGTCACAGGTGTTCCACAACTCTTCCATCAGGGATGACATAAATTTTAGTCCAACTTCTCTGCAGAGCAGTCGTTAGGGGAACTACAACTACAGATGATTGGATTTAGTCGAAGCTGTTCCATCTGTGTTTTGTGGATTGCCAGGCATCTGCTCATTGACAGAACTGGTTTTTTTAAACCAAAGTTTCATTCTTACACTGATTCACATTATTACTGCAGACTTGCATTATTCATATCTCTACAAAGAAATTTAACTTCCCGCCAAAAGTGAAAATCGGACCACAGAACGGGCACTGCTTAGAAAAAGTCAGCCTGCTGCATAATTTGCAGCTTGGATTCAGAGAAATCCAAACTCATTTGTGAATTTCTCTGACATTCAAATTTCAACATATCCAGGCAGACTACAATATTATGACACACACACCCTTTATAAGAATATAAAGAGTAGAACTTTACAACAAACCAGCATTTTATAAGCTAAATATTGTAAATGGTCTGTCATGAATCAGTCAATGCTGAGGCTGTATAGAAGCATGTGCACAATTTTTGTATGCCAACTGCATGCAATTTTCGCACATTCACCTCTAGCAATTATTTGTGTTAAGTTGTGGGAGGGTGTAGGTGGGCAGAAGACAGGGTAAATTTAGACTGGGGGAGGCTTGAGCTCAAAATGTTTGAGTAATACTGCAGACCATGCAGGTTGTGTTCAGCAGAACCATAATAAGGTGCCCCCCCCCGCCACCCCCTCTTAAAGGGTAGTGGTGAGTCTTTTCAATTTTCTTTGGAGCCTGTAGGATCCAATACTGTGGGCTTTGTTGCTTCTGGGAATCGTGCCGTTGCTCTGTGATTTGCTGCACGTAGCCTTGGAACCGCTCTCTGAAAGGATTCTGTTCCCCCCCCCCCCCAAGGAGTTACAGAAATGGCACTCACTGCTTTTCTACCTTGGCACATGCCATGCAAAGTAAACTTCTGTAGGAGGGCCTGTAAAGCTTCCCTTACAACCCAACTTTTAAAAAAGCAACAGGAGCCGATGAAAAGGCCATTGGCTCATACTCTGGGTGCACTCCGACTGCAATGTATCACACAGCACAGAAAAACATCTCCAGGCAAGGCTGGAAAGGTAAGGCTTCTTCTGCACTATGGATGAGGATGTGCTTTACAATGGGTGGGCAGGCTTCAGCCTTGCAGGGCCCACTAGAGCCTTGAGAATCATCCACCAGACCCTGGGGCAAAAGGCAGAGCAGGTGTCCATGTCAATTTAGAGACACTCCCAGGAACCACATCCAGTGTGGCTGGGACGAAAGGCAAAAATACCAGCGTATTGTAACTTAAAGGTTCCAGTGCCAGTAAGGCATTTTAGCCTTTAAGAATAGCGGCAGCTCACCTTTGGACACCAGCTGCTGGGGAGCCCCGCACTCATATCCTGCGCAGGTATTTCCCAGAGGCATCTGGGTGGGCTACTTTGGGAAAGAGAAGCTGGAGTACACAAGCCTCTGGCATGGTCCAGCAGGGCATGATGAGTGCATGATGCCATAAGTTAGTTTCACTCTGTCCTATAGACCAAGGCCCTTGAAAGCTATGCTGCAATAAATGTAGAGTTGCCACAGAACCTTGCAGTTGTGTTTCTGCAGCAGAGAAGCGTGGCTACCGTGCTCCATCCTGTAATGGGAGGGATATGAACAAGTCTAGGCTGGATTGCAGCCATCACCCGGAAAAAAGGGGGAAGCTTTGATCTTTCTAGTACCCTTATCCAGGGATGAGATGCCTCTGGACCACAGACCCAATGTGGCTAACGGGTTCCCCTTCTGGCCTGCACAGTTATTCTGGCATTATCTGCAGGGATAAACAGGTATTGAAAAGCATACCCTTCAGAGCTTTGCATAGAACTGAGCTGTGCTTTGCAGGCAGGAACTTACCAATAATTTCACTGTTTGGATGAAGTGAGTTTCCGTCAGTGCAGAAGTGATGCTTCGGTTTGGACATCTCCAAGCCGGCGAGGAGGGTCATAAAGTCCACCACAGTGTCAATGTTCTCCTTGTCTGCGGTGACATCTCTCAGGGTGCACAGGACGCTCAGCCTGCTGAAGGACTTGACTTCGGAGATATTGGCTCGCAGGAAGAGCAGAATGATGTTGAGGTCATTGAAAGGACAGGTCAGCATCTTCCGACTGAGGAGGTCAAACGCTGGCAGCATCTCATAGATGGACAAGAGCCGCTTGTCCCACTGACAGAGCTGGAGCAAGTGGTAGATTACAATGGGTCCCAGGAGGACATAGACGCAGCCGAGGCTGATGCTGGTCAGCTGGAAGACCGAGAACTGAAGCAGCTTGCAAGGAATCGAGCTGGGGATGTGAGCCTCATTTCTGAGCAGCCCTGCTTTGATGGAGCAGCTGAACTCCTCTTGGAAAAATACAGTCACATGGCAGAATCCCAAGTAGAAACAAGTGGCGGCAATGAGGGAGAGGAGGACGACGTTCCGCAAAACATAAATGCTAACAAAGTAGTAGGAGCGTTGCTTGCAGGTGAGATACCTCTCCAGCAGAGGGAATTCAAAATATCGTTCCTTGCGAGCCCTAGGCAAAACAAAGGATTTTGAAGCGAAGTAGAGCTTTCTGACCTTGTATTGTTTTGGCAATAGGGACTCTTCCTCACCATGCAAAGAATGCAAGAGATGGCAAGAAGGGGCTGCAGTGGGCAAGCCATTCCACCAGCTCTGCAGAAAGTCTAACTACTGGCTTTTTCCCCTTTCCCCTCCCCAATCCTTTTTCCTTTTGTGTTGTGTCCTTTTAGACTGTAACCCTGCAGGCAGGGACAGTCATTTTGCAGATTAGGATAAAAAGCTTTATCTGAGCTGGAGCCTAGGAGCCATTCCCTGTGACACTCAAAGAACTGCCTGCTTGTCTCCACCCCTGCAATGGGAGCTTCAAGCATGCAGTCTCCTTGGGCTCTGCTTCTAATCCCCTCCAAGCAGCATCTTGGTCTCTCTCCCCAGGAAGCAGCACGTAGCCTGCAGCCGTCGTAGTGGAAGAAGCCACCAAGCTGCTCCACCCAAAACAAATGTGCTGCACATTAAAAAAAATGGCAGGACCAGATAGAGTTGGCTTGTGACTCTTCTCCTTGACAAGCTGGCTTTCTTCCTGGCGGGATGCTGTTTATTTTTAACTCAAGAGCATTGAATGAGCACCTGTGTGCCTCTGGAGTAGAACTGCTCAGTCACAGGATTAGTACGACAGAACAAATAGGTTACTGAGGACAGAGGAATAGAGTCAGTCTACCAAGCGTAAGCTGGACCATAAGGAAGGCTGAGCGCCAAAGGACTGAGGCCTTTGAATTGTGGTGCTGGCGGAGACTCTGCGAGTCCCTTGGACCACAAGGCGATCAAACCGGTCAGTCCTAGAGGAGATCAACCCTGACTGCTCTTTAGAAGGCCAGACACTGAAGATGAAACTCAAATACTCTGGCCACCTAATGAGAAGGAAGGACTCCCTGGAGAAGAGCCTGATGCTGGGAACAATAGATGGCAAAAGAAGAAGGGGACGGCAGAGGATGAGGTGGCTGGATGGAGTCACTGAAGCAGTTGGTGTGAGTTTAAGTGGGCTCCCGGGGAAGGTGGAGGACAGGAAGGCCTGGAGGAATGTTGTCCAGGGGGTCGCGATGGGTCGGACACGACTTAGCGACTGACAACAACCAAGTGTACAGGGAGATTTAGCAGGGACTGCAGGGTCAGATACGACACCCCAGGCTACAGCTGGATTTCCAAACCAACCCCCCTCAAGGGCCAAATTGGGATTGCCACAAAATCATAGGTTTCTGTCAAAACATGGACTATCTTGCTTTTTTAATTTTCCCCCTTTAAATTAAATTGTAGTAATTAAACAAGCATAAATACAATCTATAATAATAAATACAATCTAATAATAAACATACTTAAACAATACAATAATAACAGCGCTACCTCCACCAGGACCGACAAATCATGCGACTTAATGTAAGGGTTATTTTGCCTGAACTCAACTGTGCTAACAAACATGGCTTGTTAACCTCAAACAGGCCACAACCAGGCAACAAAGCCTGCATTTCTTAATAGGCTGTGCATGGTTAACAAACCATGGTTGGTTCGTATGGCTAACAGAATGACCCACATTCCAATCACCTACCCACATTCAACCCTTGTCTGAACCCAGTCTATGCTTCCAAGCGAAAAAGGGAGGGTTTATAAGGTATCTGAGAGAAAGAAAGCAGGGAGGCATTTCGGATGCTTTCAAGGAAAGCACTAGAGAGGCAGCGAGTCTGTGGGCAGGTTGCTGAGCAGAAGAAAGCAGAGTGTCACTCCGGAGCAACCAGTGGCTGCCCAGCCAGCTCTTAGGGACAAGGGAAGCCACTGGCGTATTTAATGCTATCTTCCTTGGCCTTCCTCAACCCGATGCCCTACAGCAGCGATGGACGACAAGTTCTATTATCCCCAGCTGGGGCACCGGATCAGGGAATGCAGTCTGGCAGTGCCTTTAGGGGAGAGTTCTTCCCCCTAAGTGGCTCATCCAGTTCTTTTAACGGGCGATCCAGGGACTGCCTGGGGCACCTTCTGTCCCCACGGCCTGAGTCCTGCCACTGTGCTATAGTCGCACCAGCCCTGCGAGCTTACTTGCCAAACTCCTCCCACAGTTCCTCCGGGTCAGTGCCGTCCTGCTGGAGCTTCACCATGTACTGCACCAGGCGGATGGAGCGGTTGTAGGATTTATCCAGTTCATCAATGATAAAGAGCAAGTCACAGTTCAGAGACGGTGCAGCAGCGTATCGCCAGAGGAGGTAGGGGAGATACATGGCGACAGCAATCACCAGCAAGGAATATGGAAAGACCTGGGAAAAGAAAGAGGAGGCTGCAGGGTAGGGGTCGCTGCAGTGCCTGAAGCATATTTTATTTATTTATTTATTTATTTATTAAAACATTTCTATGCCGCCCCTTGCCGAAGCCTCAGGGCGGCTTACAACACAATAAAATACAATAAAATACAAAAATAACAATATAAAAT